GAATGGGTAATGAAGAAAAACTTTAATATAACAGCAAACGTTGTCGAAACGTTGTATATTTGCTGTTGTATTAAAGTTTTTCTTCATTACCCATTCAAGCCGTCTCCAGCCATTATTAGTCTCAAAGTGTGTTCCTCGTCATCGAATTTTATATAATGTCATGTGAATGAATGATAGCTATGTTTTATAAAATTCTATTAATGTATCTTTAATGAACCAAACTGCAAGCATAGAGATTTTTGTGAAATGTCAGACAATCATCCTTAGATACTCTAGCAAGGTGAACATTCAGTAAAATATCTAATTGTAAACTCTGAGAAAAGATGATTACAAGTATCACATACTCTAGACCTAACATAAAAGTCAGGAATAACAATTGTGGGAGCAATTTTGGCCATCATTATAACTACCAAATGAAGGCTAGTTGAACAACTTTGCTCAACAGAGTAGTTTAAAATACTATTAAACACTTTTGTTACTAGAATCTTGCATCAGAATAGCTACAAACAGAAGAAATAAAAAAACAGTGATATTTTAACACACCTGTTAGCCTTAAAAGATCATGAGATGCTACCTTGGGAAATTTTGAAAAATACTTAATATTTAAAGGGTTTGAAGATTACAATATAGTTATGTTTTTTTATCTTGATACAAGTAATCAATTACATAAAGATGTGTTTAACATAATTTCAGTTCAAGCTGTTACAGATAATTTTTCAGTAATACTCAAACACGACAAAACCAAAATTTATGGATCACTAGGTTCTCAGTATAAACTTTAGATTTAAAAACAGTATTCTTAGGTTTACTGTGAATCTGTTAAAGTTCCATTACCGTAACACATGTCTTGTCTCAGTATGCTTAGTGGATCACTGTTTTAGCATAGACAGAACAAAGATTAGAACTGAAAACTAATCAGTTATTAATGTTGATATAGCAACAAAAAATAAAGCACTATAACCCATGAATATATCTACTTAATACATTTGCTAAAGACCAAAATTTTTTCTTCAAGTTCAGTTCAGTTATCATCAGAATATCTTAAATAAAATATCCAAGCATGATTATTACCTCTCCAATACTGATCTCAGCTTCTGTATACTGCAGACCTTTTTGGATGATTGACAATAACGCAGCAGGTGGAACCAGTGCTCCATTAATATTTGACTGACTGATGTGACTTTCAATACCAAAAGTATAGGCAGAATGCTGAAATCCTGTAAAAATATAATTACACACGTGTGTAAACATAGGTATTAGATAGGGCTCATTTTTAAATCCCACATTATTTTCATAACATTTTTATTCATTTAAGCATATTTAGTACTTGCACTTAACACTAAGTTCACATAATTAATCTGCAAGTACGTACAGTAGAAATAAAGTAATTCAAATATTATTTAATTATCACATGAAAATACAAATTTTTCAAGATACACTTGCAGCTGCTCAGTTCCTAGTGTCCTGACATGGAATTAAAGTATTAAAAAAGGTTTATCTTGCACCACTTACAACATCTATAACTGAGTTGTATCTTTTGCAACAACATCCCTATATGACCTTTCCACTTGTCAAATGATGTGTATCGGAGTGCTTCAACTATGTTTTTAAGAAAGCCAGATTGAATAGAAACAGGCAGACCATAAGTATTTTATTCTAAAGATCCTTAAGCAACATAATAAATATTATATAAAGTAATGTAAGTATACCGAACAAATTTCATCATGTGAACAGTACTTTAATAACAGAACAGTGTAGCATTTAACAAAGTATCACTATGAATATTTTTAAGTTTCTGTAGGACAGTGCACATATAATGTTTTTTAAAATAAAATTACTACACAATTTTGTAACACTAAGTGCTTGTTGTATTTTATTTATTTTTCCTTTGTTGGTTATGTCATCAGGCCACTTGGTTGTCCCTTGCAGGCCAGGTGTGGTCTATGGGCTGCCAATTGAAGAGACTTGATGTATATTATACAACAAAATTAAAAAAACAAAAACAGGCATTTGCTTATCCAACTAATAGGTTCATTATCAAAAATGGCTGCTTTTCCTTTCCCTCTTCCAATTATATCTACATATACATTTATATCCATCTTGGACATATATATATATTAACTTCCTAAAGAACTTTAACATGAAAGGCCATGTCATA